TACAGATGTGTATGAAATTTAGATGTTATTTCTAGTTTCTAGTGTTCTTTCTATCATTTAAATTCTTATGTTTATACATTTTTCCAGCAAAAATGATTTTAAATCGAGCTCATCTTGAGCCGAGCTTGTACTCAGCTTAACAAGCTATGTTAATGAGCATTTATCGAGCTCTACCGAGTCGAGCTCGAGCTAGATTATTTTTATTCAAGCCGAGCTCGAGCTGAAAAATTAATAAACGAGCCGAGCTCAAGCTAAGCAAAAACTCGACTCGACTCGGCTCGTTTACAGCCCTAGTCACGGGTAGGGATGAGTATCTCACTGGTCGGGTTAAGCTTACTATACGGGTTGGGTTTTTTTATAGTTAAAATTTGATTAATCAACATTCCTGTTAGCCACGTCAGCAAAAAACTGACGGTGTTAATGGAGGCTGACGGAAGGTAATGGAGAGTGACCAAACATGCACTTATTTACTAATTTTAGTGACCACAAATGGAATTAAATATTTGTAATGACCAAACATGAACGGTTTTTTAATTCTAGTGACCAACCTTGCAATTTACCCAATAAGTTTAGTGTGCAAATTTGAAAAAGCAAAGTAGGCTTAGTCAAGCGAAGACAAAGTGAGTTATGACTCAACTAGTTGAGGGTTTGATACCCAGCCTTTGCAATTTTATTACTTTTTATTTGCTTCTGTTTTAATATATCTACATAATTACTCTTTTAAATCTTGACTCATTTAATTAGATATAATTACTCTTTCAAGTTTCATGTTATGGTTTCTTCATTTCATTATTTCAATATTGTCTCTTGACTCAATTAATTTCAAGTTTAGTTTTTTTTACCACTTTACAATTTATATCACTGAAAAATTATCCATTTTGACCTTTCATAAGTTATTCTACATCAATATTTTGACTCTAATCATCTAAAATTATTAATCATAATACTATTAAAAGTAAAATTTACTTTGATTGTCTTGCTTAGTTTTAAATTTTTTATCACCTTTCCACGGTAACAATATTAAATAATTTTCGGCTCCCCGAATGTCAAATCCTAGCTCCACCCCTGATTACATAGTGATTAGAATAGAACAACAAAAGGTTGTAGCCTAATGGAAATAATAATAATAATAGTAGTGTTTCGGGTTTGAATTAGCCAAACTATCACTTATATTCCCATATGCAAACTACAAACGAGAGTACGGTAATAGTTTTTTCAAATTTCAGAGTGTCCCGGACTATTAATTATAATTTTTTTAGCCATACATAAATTACCACCGGGAGTTGGATAATCATTTTTTCATAATTTAGGGGTGTACCCGAACACCCCAAATGGCCATGGGTCCCCCTATCGCCCAGTTCGACCATACCTAGTGAGAGGAAGAACAAATGGGTCAAAATTGGAACCTAAAATAGAAGTGCCCCGAGTAAGGTATTCAAACCAGTTTAAACCTTTGAGCCAGTGAAGCAAATGATTTAAGATTTCTTGGTCAGATTGGGTTTGATCGATTTAAGTCATTTTATATCTAATATAAAAAATGTATGCATATATATGATAATAGTTTGATTTTAATAACATGAATGTAATTTGACAGGTAATACAATGTACTTTACAATTAACAGTAAACCATCAATCCGGTCAGATCATTGATTTTTTTTTAGTTTTGCCTGGCTACTGGGTTGAAAGCAAAATGACTATTGAAGGCCATTTTGAACTGACTCTAGTCGGACTAGGTCCAACCGATCGGCTGGACCAGGGCTTGACAACACTGGCCACGAGTCCAAGTTGGTGGGCCCTGCTATTCGTATTTCTCTCTCACGCACTCTAACGAGAAACCGGTGAAAGAAACCGACGACAAGGAAACGCTCCTTTCCTTCCCCCTTTTCATTCCTTCCTTCGCCCAAGGGGCGGAGCTACAGCAGGCCTGGGGGGGGGGGGGGGGAGAATCTCGAAAGTAACGTATACGTGGTTTGAGATATTACGTATAAACTAAAAATATTATTTACATATAAAGACGTGCAAGGTACAACCAAGTAGTTTTATTTAGAGGGGTACTATTTGTCGCCCGTAAATTAAACTGAAATGACATTTTTGCCCTTTGTTCATTTTTTATAACACAAACCCCATTCCACCACAACACTAGCGACCACTCCTGCTGCCGCCGAAACCAGTCCACCATCACCGCCAGATCACCACCGCGGCCAGCACCAAATCATCACAGCCAGCGGGCAGGCCCCGTCCGACGCCGGCGGGCGGGCCCCGTCCGACGCCGGCACACGGACCGTGCATCTAGCGACAGTTTCAAAACCGTCACAAAACTCGTCGCTAAATGATAATAATTATTTAACTCAATCTTCTATTTTATTTAATTATTATATCATCTCATCCACCTCCTATACCTTATACTCCTCCGAAAACCTAAACCCTCATTCCCCTCGAATATCTACGTTTCAGCTGGAGAAGAACAACCATGGCAGGATTGTGGGACCGATTACTATGACAACACTACTTGTGTTGTTATTGTAACAACACTAGTCTCCAACCAATAGGAGGCTAGGGTTGTGATGACTTTTTATTAGATGAGTTGACCTAGTGTAAAATCAAAGCAGGGGTATAAGTGTCATTATGAAAAATATGTTTAAATAATAATAAAAAAAAAAATATGTTTTTATTTTCGGCCCAAAAATTTGGTCGCCAGAATTCTGCCACCGGTCGCCGGAAACTTGTCGCCGGTCACCGGAATATGCTTTTTGTCGCCGGAATATGCTTACCGGCGTAGGAATCTAGTCATCGAGGCCGGAATATGCCTATCGGCGTCGGAATCTGCTCACTGACGGTCACCGGAGTTCGGTCAACGGTCAACGACCAACGGATGTATGGTCTGCATTGTTAGATTTATGGTTTGGTTTCTCATATTTTTATGTCTTTTGTGGTTCGCTTTATCGTGTTTGTGGTTTGCATTAGGAAGTTTTTCGGGTCAGATCCGGACCTTAAGCACTATTTTTTAAGGAAGATCTTAAAACCGGAACAGCCAATAGGAGAAGGAGAGAGAACATAATCAAGAAACCACACTCCTTATGTCTTCGTCTTCATACAGATGAGAGATGCTTGGCATCTCCTCAGACAGGGGACGGAACAACCTTCCGGCCTTCTTGTTACCACTCTCGTAGTGGATCTTCATTCCTTGTGTCCTTCTGTTTCCCTATGAAAACCAAATACCATTGCCGGTGTCGAGTTCGTTTCCGACGATGTTGATTTGATGTTTCGCGGAGGACATTGGTGGATCCAGGGGGTGGCCAACCCAGGCCTCGGCCCAGCCCTCCTCTGGATTCAAAGTTAGTATAGTTCTTATGAATTTTTCGATTTTAGACATTCCGTTCAATGTTATTTTATAATAAGATTGTGTGTAACTTTGTAAGTAGAAAAATAATTCGTATGAACATATTCAAATAACTACTCTAAATTTAGCTTATAAATTCTAGCCCCAAAGATTTTCGTCTAAACAAAAACAACGGAACCTAAAATTCTAAAAGTCTAAAGCGTAAAAGACTAATGAGCGATGATTTACTCGCCGGTTGCTCAAGTATTTTATTTGAAACAGAGCATACTATTGGTATGGATGTAGACTCCATTATTGATGCATTCGCTAAATTAAAACACCATCGTGAACAATTGACATTGTAAAAAAATATAAAATCATTATCCTTTTTACGATATCTAATTTCTAATGAAATGCGGCCCAGTGCGCTATTATGTTCTGGATCCGCCGCTGGCGGAGGAAACTCTTGCGGTGCCGTTTGATCGGATGCACTGCTGATTGCTGAAATCAAAACGAGTGTCAAATATTTACCGCCAGGCGGTGATTTAATCGGTGCAACTCTGACTTCTGAAAACGACGACGATCGTCAAATATCCACCGGACGATGTTGATTTGATCGATGCACCACTGAATTCTAACCAAGACGACCGTTAATCGGTTCACACCTCTCCAAACTACGTTCGAACGAGGGTGTTTGAGTTTTTGGGGGAATCTACGTTACGACTACTCCTATGGAGATTCCTATGGAGAGCTCCACGACTATGCTACAACTACGACTATGGAGATCCTTCATGGAAGGAGAGCTCCGCGAAGGAGTTACAGAGAAAAGGTAAAGTTTTTGACAGAGTTGTTCTGTGTTGATTTTTGGTTCTTCTTCTCTCTCCTTGCTCCGGTGCTTTTATTCGAAAAGCATCTTCGTAGCCTTCACGCCTTCAAGTGTCTCAATTGCCTTGATCTCCTCTTCACTCTTGTTGGTGTGAATCTCGAAACTGCTCTGTAGAGACTTAGCCAAAACGACGCCGAGCCAAAATCCATAGTTTTCCACCACGGTTCGATCCTCCAAACAACCATGTCCACAAAATAAACAACGACATTATTCTCGCCTAAACAACGTTGCTCCTTAGTATCGCGGCATTGTTTTGCCATGCAGCTAGCCGAACTTGCAACGTCATTGAGCCTAAACTAGGCAAAACGACATTGAGCTTGCAACCTCGTCAAGTACGCGACATCGTCAAACACACGCCATTGTTGAACTCTCGCCACTGCAACGTTGTTTTATGCTAAACAACGTCGCTTCCTATCCTCGCGGTGTAGTTGGATCTTTGTGACGCTACCGATCATGTTAGGCTTGTCTCACAACGTTGTTCTCTACAAAACAACATCGTCTTCTACTACTGCGACGTCGTTAGGTTTGACTTCGGCGTTGTTTTATTTTACTAAGCAACATTGTTTTTAATTTCACTATAGTGTTGTCACACAAGCCAACATTGCGAAGCCGAATGAATTCGCGGCCCTAGCTCGCGACATTGTTTTCCAATAAACAATGTCGTTTCAATTATCGCGGTGCTGTTGAGCTTCCTTCGCGACACCGTTTTACCTCTTTGACGTTGCTTAACTCCAAACGGCACCGTTTTTTTATCATGCGGCATTTAATTCAATCTAAAATAATTTTAGTTATCAACACCGCTGAAATTGTTTATCACCAGCATCGTTAATCTCGCGACGCGGGCGCTAACTAAAGCCAAATTATTTTTAGGTGTAAACACCTTCAAATAAAAGGCAAGAAAGATCACTCTTCCTTTTTCCAGTCTTGCCTTTTCTCCTACACTGTCTCTACACAGTCTGCTTCCCTCAACATTATATTACACAAACATTAGAGATGGAGGCAAAACAACACCTTCCTCCTCCTCTTCTTCTTCTCTCCACCTTCGCAGTCACCATCACCGCCCTGGCAGCTGGGAAGAAGAATCCGTATAAGAAACCAATCAGTCAGGATACCCCTCATCTAAGCTAAGGGTACTGCCCTGAATTGGCTCAAAAATTATATAGTACATATGTATACATTTGCCAATTGGGAGGGACTTCGATTCTCTATTCCTCTAGTCAGCTTACTTCGTCGCCATGCAAAATACACTAGGCCGAGGTTTGCTGCTGTGATCGGACTGAGTTCCTTTCCAATTGAGAGAACCCTGCCCCAAAAATCAGGGGAAAACTACTGCCAGGGGATCATGTTGGGGGTCTCAACTCTCATGAGATCATTGGGCGCTCTTGCTGAACAGCACGAGTATTTAACATCGGAGGGCTGCCAACTCATTCAAAGCAAAAGATACACGGTGTTAGAGCAACAGCATCGGCTTGCAAGACATATTGTTAACATATTGCTAGGATGTGGGATTGCGGATACTGTTAATGGTAAGGCATAGCCAACGAAAGACATGGGCGAAGGCAGGAAGAAAGAAAGTTCTTACTTGTCAGAGACGAACTTCCCTTTGGAGCTTCGTGAGGTTGGAAGTTTTGGTGGCAATGGATCGGCCCTACTAGTGCTGCAATCAGTCACTCTAAGGCTACGGCTCGTGTCCTGCCGGTGTCATATGAAAAACACAGTCCAAAGTTCAAGGGTACGTATATGTTTTACTGGGCATGAATGGATTACTATATTAATAATGATTTTCTACCATTGGTTTAGTGCCATTGATTTGTGGTGTAGATGAGGGTGGAACATCATGCAGCTGTTTTAACCACCGATGTTCTAGTAACAAGCTAGCTGACGGCCGCTCTGCAGGGTTTCTTTTGAAGCACCAAAGAAGGAAATCCTTGCCATCGGCTGACAATGTTTCGGGTACAGGTGGAGTGTCCCTCATTACTTTGAACATAGCTGCGGCCTGCATCATGTAAAGACAATAATAATAACACTTGAATTAAACAGAGACCTGGAGAACCGTTGGGCATCTGGAATTCTGGATTATGTACATATCTGAAACATCATCTCAAGGTTTTAATTAGTGCAGGAGTGTCTGATGTGATGAAAGAAAAAGTTTCTAGGGGCCACTTGGTTAACTTGCTTTGTGGAATACATGTATTTCATGAAGTACATTTAGTTTGAAATGTGTGATTTATAAAAACGTATTTTGATTGAATACATGTATTGTAGGAATCAGTGTTTTGATTGAAAATGATTAATCACAAAAATATCGAGACAGGATACAAAAACAGGCATTCTCTAAATCAGTGGAGAACTATATATGAGTAGCAAACTAGCTGGTAGAAGATTTGTAACTTACACCCTCAAACTCACTCCAAGGAGGTTTCCCAGTGAACATTTCAATGATCGTGCAGCCTAAGCTCCAAATGTCAACAGCAAGTGCAAGATCAGAGTTATTGTCCTTCTGCATAACAGCTTGCATAAGCTGTGCATAGAACATACAATAATCAGTGTTGGATAATAGAAACACCATCATCTTAGTTTGATGAGCGGGCAGTAGGTTTACCTCTGGTGCCATCCAGTAAGGACTTCCCTTCAATGAAAGCTCAGCTACTGGTCCAGTAAGCTGATCAAGCAATAGATCTGTGAAAATTACCATCTGTAGGATATGCCACTCGCAAAGAGGGAAAATAGGGCAGAAAATGGGAACTCACATGTTTTGACATCCCAAAATCTGCTAGCTTTACAACCCCAGATGCATCCACAAGCAAATTTGCTCCTTTTATGTCCCTATATACCACAGAGGAGTAAGACAGTGTTGTGACAAAATATGCTATACCTCTGTATCCATATTTTCTAGGAAAGCCAAACTAGTGACCATAGAATGGATGTTATCGTCACCTGTGTACTGTCTTCATGGTATGCAAGTATGCCAATCCAGAGAGGATATGGCGGGTAAAACTACGAACGATGGATTCTGTTACAGCTCCACAATGATCACGGACATACTTATTGATTGAACCGGGATGGACGTATTCTAAATAGATATAAAAGTGGTCCTCAACCTACAGACACAATAAGCGATTGATTACTGAAACACAGAAACCAAGCAGATACCCAAATGAAAAAAATTTTGTAAAAAGAACAGCTAGAGCGGTACTTACTATTTCACTACCATAATACTGCACAATGTTTGGATGCTTCAACTGGCTAAGAACTTTAATCTCCTACAGAATTAACATAAACTCGGTATGTGAAAACAGGCTTAACACTCAATATAATGAGTTATGTCATTCATTCCACGCATAACGAGAATAACCTGCTCTAGTTGCTTTATGCATTCTTGAGATTTTGGATCATCAGGAAACATATCAACCTCCTTCATCGCACATAAGGCCCCAGTTTCCCTGAAAACAGCATACTGCAATTAGCAATTGTGCAACGAGAAAGACAGGTTAGGGGGGAAATGGCATGAATCCCACAACCACCAAAATCTCGCATACCTGTTGTTGGCAACATAAACACTTCCGAATGTACCGCGCCCAATAAGCTTCCCTTTCTGCCACTGACTTTTCATGGGTACAAACTCTTGTTTAGCAGCAGCGGCAACAGGAGGAACGACAGCAACAGCAGCAGCAGCAGTCGGCGTTGGAGATAACAGATTCGCTCCTGGAGGAAGAGGCAACTTGTGGACCTCTACACTTGCATTGTTGTCACGTTGCCTGGCAGTTGAAGTCTCAAACGAAGTTCTAGCAGCCACAGGAGATGGAGGACTTCTGGTTGCTGCCGGGCTTTGAATGGGCGAACTATCACTACTCAAATCTAAGAATGCAGGTGGTGGGAGCCCTGGTATATCTAGTGTAGCCATCTCGGGTGCAGACCAACCTTGCTTCCCGTTTGGAATCAGGTTGTTGTATGGAGATGTGATGAAAGCATGCCTTATCCTCTGTGGACTGATTTCGGGACTTGCATACGGAGTATCAGATGTACTCTTAGCGGCTTTGTTGTGCCTATAATTGCTTAAATCTAGACTGGACCTCGTCTCCTGGTGCTGCTGCTCTGCCTTCTTTGTTTCTCGGCCAACCAATACACTGTTATTGTTCCCCCGCAACAACAAGGAACAGAATAATATTCAATGGAATGTTATCTATTGGAGTAAGTTCAAATTGCAAAATGCCAAACGATATAGAAGACATCTCCAGAATCTTAGTGGGCAGAAATAGCACCCTGACCATTTTAATCCTGTTATTAACATACAAAAAGTCGAAGAACAAAAACCCTAGATCGTCTGATTTCTCCATGAATCGGCTGGAAAATTAAAGTCGAGAACCAGGACAAATAAATTGGCGAATCAATAAAAGTGGGGGGGACGAAGAAAATGGAAGAGAAATTTACCTGGAAGGCGCGGAAGTGGAAAGAGAAGGGCCGATTCCACCGCCATTATTTCTCTCTCGAGAAGAATCGTGCTCTTGGGGCAAAGGGAGAGGGACGGGGACGGGGACAGGAGAGGTAGGCGGCACCCTGGTGGAGATCCTCGGCGGCGACGAGGAAGTGCTTTGAGACCGCGAGAGCTTGAGCGGCTCGGGCGGCGACGATCTGGAGGAGGCAGGGATGCCGTCGCTGCTGGCGACATCCTTGTCGGTCAGATGGCGGAGCTTGCGCTGGCGCGTGAGCTTGGGGGTGCTGCCGGGGCTGGAACTGAATCGGAAGCCGAAGGTGCTGCTGCGGAGGTTCTGACCATTCTTCTTGTGGTTTTGAAGCGCCGTTTCGTCGGCGACGGCGGCGGGTTTAGCAGAAGTTACGGAAGAGGAAGGCGCGGAAGAGAAAGAGAACGCGGAGAGGCTTGGCCAGCGCATGGTGGCGAGAAATCAAAACAACAATCATGTTCCTCCGAAAGGAACACAAGGAAAAAAGAAGAAGAAGAAGAAAATTGAACAGCGTAGGAGAAACACAAATTCAAATGCCGATCGCTTCCGTTCTTTCCATGGCAGCTCGTCGGTGCTGGTGGAGGAGAACGAGCGGTAGCGTAATTAACGACGGTCGGAAATCCATATCATGGGGAAAGAGAGACGACAGAGGAGGATGGAAAAATCGGAGAGAAGGAATGGAGAGCTGGGGAAACTGAGGAAAAGAGCGAGGGAGAAAGGAGGAGGAAGAGAAGAATAATGATGTTGGTGAGAAACGGTTACGGGGAGGTCAAACTAATTGGGAGAAAATCGGATTTTGATCTTTGAATTTCTTCTATTTTCCGTTGCTCCCGCTGTTTTTTTTCTTTCTTCTCCTCGTTCGTGTTTTTCCTTCTTTTTCCTTTTTCTTTCCTTACGAGTTTTTTTTTTCTTTCTTTCCTTACGAGAAAATTAAAGAAAAGAAGAAAATTAAAGAAGAAGAAGAAGGAAAAGAAGGAAAAGAGAGTCAAGGGGAATGGCGGGGGAAGTCGCCGCTCGCTCTCCCGCCTCGCCTTCGTTGTTTGGTGTCTTTCTTTGTTTTGTTTTCCTTTTATTTTTTTCTCTCTCTGATTTTGTTTAGAAGGAGGGGAGAGTTTGCGTTTGTGGCAACCAATTGCGTTTTTCTTCTTTCTTTTCTTTGGGTCGAATTTCTGATTTTAGCTTATATTGAGCAGGATCGAATTGGAGGGAAGAGAGGAGAGAGGGGGAAGAGAAGGCCGAACTCCGGAGTGAACGAGAGTAGTGATGACAACAGGTAAGGTTGGGTCGGGTTTTGTCAAATCGAAATTCAAACTTATGAGTTTATTCGTTAAAAGAATTGGGATAAAACTTATTCGGTTTGGAAAACTCAAACCCAACCTAATCCATTGGGTATCCGCGGGTTCATGGATACCAAATGGGTTTCGTGATAAAAAAAAATTACAATGAAAAGTTCATATCAAAATAAAGTCAAACATCAATTTTCTCATACAAGTTATCCATACATAAAACACTAGTCTAGAAAATTCACATAAATCACAATAACACTAAATAAAAGCACACAATTCTTAGTTTTTCGTTCATTCCCTTTTTGTTTGTGAGAGCAGCAAACCAACAAACATAGTGTGTTCAACTTCTATTATTTATTCATCCCTCCCACTTCTTTTGGTAAAAGGGAACAATACTTTGTTGGGAATAATAAAACATGCAATCAACTTTCTAGGAGAAGCAATGAAGGATTGGTCGATTGGGGGTCGAATCGGGAAGAAGAGGGGTTTTTGGGGGAGAGAGCATAGTGGGGACTGGGGAGGCGGCAGGTGAGTCGTGAGAGTTAGATTGGGGCAAATTAGAATTAGGCGACAGAATAAGTGTCGGCAGGTATCTATGGGTAGGGTATTCCTAAACCCAAACTCAACCAAACCCGGTGATCAGTGTAACAGTTTTAAAACCGAACTCGATTCGAAACACATCAACATTGACCGGAGTGGGTCCGATAGGGTACCCGTGGGTTCCGATTTTGTTGTCATCCCTAAATGAGAGTTCGTTATTATCAAAGTTGTCAATTCGTTTAACCGGTTGGCCCGGTCGACTAAGTGTGTTGAGGTTTAATCGTTCGATGGTTTTAGTCAAGTTTAGTTTGAATAGACGAAAAAAGTCATTATATTGTTAATATATCATATCTCATATAAAATATGGGTCATAACATATAATATTACACCTAAATAACAATTTGTACTTGAATCCAACATATAACAAAAATTCAAACACACTCATATAATCATATACAAATGTTCAACTTTGAAATTCAAATACAGTGTTAGATGAAGGGGGAAACTGGAAAAGATGCAAAATTCTCAAACCAAATAAAAAAAAATGGAGAGTGTGTGACCTCCAACCCTGAAACCTTACTACGAATGAACACGCGGGTGTGTGTGGCCGATTTTCCTCACATTATCCTTCTTTACCTAAGTGTCACCTATTGGAAGTCTTCACAAAAAAAAAAACATTATGCAATCTCATGGTTTAAACACCACATCATAGCATTGCAAAGAGTTAAAAGTTCATATATGTAATAGTAAGCCAAACCTTCGTAAAACTTAATGTAGGCACAGAGCAATGAGGAATATGTTGTGAATCCTACAAAACCATCACGGCCTCCAACATCCCTCTTGAATGCCCCATCACATCTAATCAAAATACTACCTTGAGGACTGGAAACAACGTATACTAGTTGGGGAGGGCACACACTAGAGTAATTGGTAACCAGACTTTATAGAATATTGCATTTCAAGTTCTGCATTTCAAGTTCTGGTCATCGGATGGATGAGTGAAGCAACAAAAGAATTAGACCACCCAACTCCCATGAAGGACGGTTTCTCATTGGAGCATTGAGAAAAGAGGAGCAAGGATGATAACGTGCTTTATACATCCGAGCAAGGGTAGACCCATGAGCTTGAAGGATCTTACAAGCTTGTTTAGCCAACATCACTACATTGAACAAGTCGAGATCGCAAAATCCCAGTCCACCTTGAAACTTGCTGATACACACCGCTGGCCAGGAGATCCAATGCTCCCATCATCCTTATCCTGGCCAACCCACAAAAAACAAGCCAGCTGGTTATTCAAATGCTGACAACTTGTAGAAAGCAACAGGAAAGAGAGCATGGAGTAAATAGGAGTTGCGAAACCAATAAACTTATTCACAAACGTGCCTGGGATTTCCAGCTCCTAATGTGCCTGGGATTTCCAGCTCCTAATGTGACCACCTAGCGTATCCTCCACAAATTGAATGGTAAGAAATTTTGAATGCTGAACTTGGGAGCGAAGATCTAAATAGTTATCCAACACCCCAATTGTGGGTACCCCGTAAGCCCAGCGTTGAATGGAGAAAATGACACTGTCGTCGCACATGCGTTGATCCACTTAATCCACCGTGGACCAAACTCCAAAGCCTCCATAAGTTCAAATAGGAATCTCCACTCTACTCGGTCATACGCCTTCTCCATATCTAACTTTAGTGTCATCCATTTATCTCGACCATGAGTCTTAGTTTTCAAGAATTGCATAACTTCCTGAGCAATAAGAATAATTTCAGAGATATCTCGTTCTTTAAAAAATACTCAGATTAATTCATAATTGAACTTTAACATTATGTCATCTTTTTTTAACTATATAAATATCATTATGTGAGAGTTTATATTCCTCGAATAATTTGATTTCATTGATCACATGCCATTAGTCTCATGTTTGTTTTCTCCATAATATATAAGTAGTGATAGGCAACCGTATTACTTGAGAAACTAACCCTAATAAATTGAGCCTTTCTATTATGTTCTAAAATACTGATGTTTAGACATTCCGAGGTAAAATTTGAACTTGTAAAATATTAAAGGTACAAGTTAAATTTGTAGCATATAATAATTTATAGTTTAAATTATGATATAAGTTCATTTTGTACTATGTACAATATTAAAGTAACATAATATAACTTGCCAGCATAAAAACAACGTAAAATTCACATTCTCTGTCAGCATGCATTCTGTACGCCCGTAAAGTTTTACTATTTAGAGTACGAATTAATCAGAGTTTAGGGTATGATACTATACTCTATCCTCTAACGGGTGAACCAGAGTCCCTAACTCTCTAACCCAAGCCACAAGATTCATTTAATCTAAAAATAATAATTGTCAGGATTCAACGAAATATATTGAAGTGCAAAACCAAGTGTGAACACAGGTGTACAACGTACGCTAGCCTTTTCCATATATATATGAATAGGGCTGGCAATTAGTTCCGTTCGGTTATTATCGGAACCGTTTAGTTAGTTTTTGGTTAACTGTTAACTACTTTATACTTATCATTAATTGCATCATTTATATTAGTTGGTTAACCGTATTCGTATTGTCGGTTCTCGATTAATTTTTTGATTAACCGCATTACCGTTAAGCAAGTGGTTCAGTAAGTTTAAAAAATAATTGTATAAAAAACAATTATAGAATTATTACTTTTTTTATTAACCGGATAACCGTATTGGTATTGTCGATTCTCAATTAATTTTTCGATTAACCGTATTCGTATGTGTTATTTTTTAAGTTGTTATCATTGTATAACAAATAATTTAACATAGATATCAATCCATAATTAACTCAATCCAACACAAGTAACACTAACACCATTCTACCGTCATATTTGATTAAAGAAGTAGACAAAAATAAGAGACCCAGCATTAATTACTCAACCCATGAACCCCGGTCAATTTACATGGAAGGTTAAATGTTACCGATTGTTGTCGAGCTATGTGGCAAGTCCAAAACATCCCATTTTTTGGCCTATGCATGTGGTTCATCGAAGACTATTATTTTTTCCTCGCTATGAGGATGGTCATAATCAGTTAGTCAGTTAACTGCCGGTTATAACTATTTAACCATTGGTTATTAATTAGCTAAATTTGGCTACTAAGCCGACCATTTACTGTTTAATGAGTTATTCATTTAACCGTTAACCAAATATACATATGATTTTTATATTATTATACTAGCATGAGAATATGAATAGGATGGTCACTTAACTACCCAAGATTATGGGTTGGTTAATCAAAGGTGCATATTATTTATGTATTATTATTTGTGCTTATTCTTTGTAGTTTGATGTTTCCAAGATCATGTGGTGAGTCATCCAAACAATCAAATAGTATTTCAATTCAATCATAAAAAATTAAATGTAAGTACATGTGTTTTTATTTCATAATGCTAGACATCTTACCATTATATATCTGTCAATCCCACGTGTTATTTAGGGAAATACATACGAACTCAAAAAAATAAATTGTTAACGTCCATCAAACTTGCTGATAGTCTTTGCAATAATCTCCGGGTAATGTGTTTTGTGAACCTCACCCCTCGAAAGCAGCGATCTAGAGGATTTGAATATGCTGTTGTAAGCAAATAATTTGACGAGGCGTCATTCTTTTTAAACATATCTGAGACTATGATGATGTCTCCTGACAGTTTGTGTTTTCTCCAGAAATATTTCCCATTTTTCCATTCGTTGTTGGTATTATCATTGTAACGAAGTATTTAATATATTCTCATACGGTATCAAGCTGCTATACGATTAACTATATTCTCATGGGTTAGAAATAGTACATCCACATCATTCTACCACATTGAATTGCAAAGTAGCTACGTGGCAATAGAAATGCAATTGCACTTTTAATTGCATTGATGGAAGTGTCAATTGCAATAATGCAAGCTACCATTTTATACAATTCCATTTGCAATTCCGAGGTAGACATCCATAACTTTTTATTGGGTTTTTCTTCCTTTTTTACTTTATTAAAAAAATAAATTGGACTCACATATGCAATTGCAAGTTATGCTCATGAAAGTAATGTAAGTTTGATTGCAAAAAAGATGAGGTAACAATAAAAAAAACAAATGAAATTACAAAAACAATGCATTGAATTATTGGTGCATTATTTATTACTTTATTATTGCATTATTTGAATGTTTCGAGTTATATGATTAAATTACTATTTTATTTTGTGCTATCAAGTATTTGTTCAAGTATGTTAAAGTACTAGGTGATAATGAAACACAACCCCAACGCCATTGAAAAAAATCTCTGCATCTTGCGTTTGTATTGATGAGATTAAAGCATTTCTAGACAGTCGCTATTAACATCAGGCGAAGTATGTCGGAGAATATTTAAGTTTGATGGTAGATGTAGTTCACCTTCTATGTTGCGTATGTCACGAGCATAGGGAGAATAAAGTAATAATGAAGGAGAACCAAACAACTGAAAATACTATCATAAAAAAATATGAATGTTATTGCCATGGATGAAAATCAATGCTCATTCTTCTAAGGCATACACATATTCTTTGTGGAGTTCCCTCAATATTTCATATGGACCAAAAATTGAGAATGCGCCAGATGAGAAAGAAAAAGGTGTGTATTGGAAGATTGTATTTTATGCTCGCAAGTCGCTGCATTTAGTCAGAGGTTGTCATCTTATTGAGAAATTAGAACAGTTAATGGTGGAGTACATGATTCCTTTCAAAAAAATGTTTTTTGCTCTTAGGTTATTGGCAGACGATGAGTGAATTGACTTCTTGAAGGAAATTGCCTTTTGTGGTTCTAGATATAAAGTAAGGAATCTATTTGTCACAATTCTTAATCACTATCAAATGTCTGCTGTGCAATCTTTTAAAGGAGAAATTGGGAATTATTGAGTGATGATATCACGTTCAATTGAAGAAGATAGTTAAATTTATCCAATTTGTAACTTTTTACTGATGTGATCAAACATATATATATGCTCAATGGATATAGATAAACTATTGCATAAAGTTTGGAAACCTCTACGCCTATTCCATATGGAGCTATGAGATTAAATTCTTGAAATCGAATGATCGCTGAGGAGTTAAATTCAAGGATTGATATACCGTACCAGAGGTCGTACCGGAAAAGTCAGCGGTAGGGTATTTTTATGTTAAAACCGTGGTTTAACCATTGTTCAACCGTATTATATCGCTAAATACCGCTTACCGGTTTTACTTCCGGTAGGAAGTTTTTCCGGTCGAACCGCCGGTACGGTATGGTATTTTAATCCTTGGTTAAATTACAATCCATAAGATTTACTGAAGAAGTAAATACGCTGTAACCAAAATTGATTCAGGGAAAATGAAGGCATTCGTTGAAATTATTCGGGATGTGGAGGAAGAAAATCGAAACCGCTTTTTTGTTGATGGATTTTAAGGTACGTGGAAAACATTTATTTGGAAGGTTATTGGTTTGTGGCTACGACCATGAAAAGAAAGTAATATTGTGGATTGCTTCGTATGGCATTGTAGCTTTGCTAATGATTGGAGGTAGAACTGTTCATTCTCGATTCCGTATTCCAATTAACTGTGACTCAAAATCAACATGACATATTGAACACGAAAGCAAGTTAGCATAACTGATTCATAAAGTTCCCCTTATTATTTGGGATGAAGCTCCTATGGCTCATAAGCATAATATTGAAGCACCAGATAGAAATCTCAAGACTTTTTGCAAGTGAAACAACCAAATAGACAAAACATTATCATTGGGGGAATTTATGTTGTGTTCGATGGAGATTTTTGTCAAACTTTACCAATAATTACCTAAGGAAGCCCGAGCAGATATTGTAAATTCTTTTGTCAAAAGGTTGTATTTATCACTCTCAAAACATGAGATTTTGCCTGAAAATTTGTAGGTTTGAAGAAGTTATTTAGATTGAAGAATTCAACAAATGGATTTTGCATATATGTGATGGAGTGGGACCCAGTGTTTGTGGGGAGTCAATTATCTCAACTCCAACTTCTTTGAGCATTTTGCTTGAAGGAGATGACATTGTTGATATTGTGAATCATGTTTATGGTGATCTCTATTTCAATTACAGTGAAGGAATATATTTCAAACGAAGATATTATTATTGGTGGAGATATTATTATTGATGATATACAAAAAGAAAAGTTACAGTAATCTCTGACGATGCGTAGACAAAAGGGTGATTTGAATTCAGTCGAATCCCTTTCATAATGTTTTTCTTTCACTTTTCATAAAGACATTTTAGTCGATGAGTCAGTTAGAGTGTCGGGAAACATTATGATGTTGATCCTTTTAAATGGTCGAATTACTAAAATAATTTTGATTCTCTTGTGCTACCAATTAATTTGAATATTTTAAGTATTTGAACAAATCAAATTTTCTCATACTACCAAAAAAACACGTATCTCGCATACAGATAGTTATTATTGTCTACGTGATTGGCAAATGAACTCGACCAACTGGTCGGGCCCTGACTAGTAAAAAAATAGAATGTAAGTCCAGTTATGACGTTGCCAGCCTTTTTTTTTTTGTTGTTGGTAGAAAAAGCCCAAATTTCTTGAATGTGGGTTCAACCGATCGAGAAAGCTTTTATTTATTTATTTTTTTTTTTTTGAAAGGACGAAGCTTCTAATTTAGTAAGTCGTTTACCTCAAAGCCGCCTCAAAATAAAACTTCCAGCCACAAACCCAAACCACACCCACCCTTGGTATTAAATCTGGTAGTTTTAATTACTAGGGCTTGACTTTTGCGGAAGTCAACGGGTTTCAACCTCACAGAATTTTCCATGGAAAGGGACATCACTTTACTCCATGGCTCCACACAAGTCAACGTTCAACTGCTAGGCAATTCCTGCTGACTTATTAGATTGTTTTCCAATTCTTTCCCCCAAGCAGAAATCTTGGTTAAAAAGTCTCTTAACTACGTGTTTAGAAGAACAATTCTTCAAGGTGATATCGTGTATCAAAAAGAAGTTAGAACATGAAACATATTCATGGAGAAAGCAAACAACATCCACAGGGATTTTGCCTACCACTTAGTACTATGTCGTAGTGGTGGCAATGCAGTCGAAATCGAGATTTCACGTAACATAGAAATTGAGATATAACTCAAATTGTAAAATTGACTCGTAAAAACGGTAGGATTTGAAGTACATGGTAAAAGCGAAGATTTAAATCACTGGATAGTATTGAATAAGGTCAATTTTGACTAATAGCTGAATATGTAACACTTACAAGGATAACTTTCCGAGGTGATTTGTATCAAAACAAGTGATTTGCATTGGATGTAGAAGCAGTAGCATGGCTGGTAGGCATGGTAGAGTTGGTGAAACGGTGATGATTAATGAGTTGATTTGGGTTGATGATGGGTACATGAACGAGAGAAAATGAAATGATGTTGATGGAGGGGAAGTAAAATGTGTTAGGTTTCTCTAATTTGGGGGAAATACGGAAAGTTGACCTAAATACTTGATTTGATTCCATTATTTCAGTTTGACTTAGTCTAAATTCAATTAATTTAATCTCAATTCTCAACCTTAAATGGTTAAAATCCTATTAAATCTAGACTTATAATTAAATGTTAGTGTATAATTTTAAGATTCATGGATTTTATAGTAAAATCTAATCCAAACACGAAACAACTAAGTAAAAATATTATGATGTTGAACTCAATTTTTGTCCAGATTCATTAGATTGAGCACAAATTATGGAAGTGGATAGGGTACAAAACTCGAGTATGCAAATTTTAATTGGGAGGATGCACAATTGCAACGAATTTTTCGAATCTTACATCGTGATACAAGGATACAATCAGATTTTGCATGACGGAGTTTGTATCATAACTCAAGCCATAAGTTATAATTGAGATTTGAGAGGATGCACACCGAATATCGTACAACGGCCAATCTTATCCCACCGAATATCGATGACCAGACCCAAACCAAAAAACAAGGAAGACACCGAAAAGGCTAACGTGCTTGTGGGTCTATCTTTCTGCGGAATTCAGTTCATAAGTTCAAGCGGCTGCTACTTTTCCAAGAGTTTTGCCAAACAAAGTTAAGGTGAAATCAAAAAAATGAAAAACTTGCAAGCGAAAATACCCATTATTACTGCTGAATCTCAACATTTTCCACAGTCAAATCTATCACGACAGAAGAGAGCAAAAGTGTACTCTGTCAGGGTTTTTTCTTAAGTGCCTTTCTAGATTCAATTAGTCATCCTGCAGCAACTGATACACTCCACATCTCTCACAACAGCCAAAACAGGTTCTGATGTTTTTCAGATCACGATGCTAATCAACCCAACGAGGATATATATTGACCGGGTTACGCTCCAAGGACGAATTCTCCATGTTTGTAATCCAAACCCCGAAGCGCTATTTCTTGCAGTGCCCGTTCTCCACTATGCCAGAGCAGGCTTTGACGTTTTCAAACCTGTCGAAACAACCTTACATACAGGGGTCGTCTCATCCTTGCTCAGAAGCTTCAGCGATGGATGGAAGCTGATGTCTCGCATGAATATTCTCTCTCCAATGTCCAGATTGCTCAGGTCGACCTCGATTTTTTGAGGGATGTTCTCTGCAGGGCAGAGAAGCTTGAGAGTGGTTCTGAACTGGTTCAACCGGCCACCTGTCACCCACCAGCATCAAAATAGTTCATTTGAGTATATAATGAGATTGTATCAGCTCGAAATTCCATAAAAAGTATCATATGGAGGCAGGTTGAGTTCATCAATGACCAAATCAAGTAGTCTTGGCAAGCAAAATAAGTTCTTCAAGCCAATTTTAATGAAATGCCAACCAATAAGAGAAAACGAAAGTTAGACATGAAGCAGCACCCAGGTGGCGGAACTAATACAGCATGGTTAATAGTTCACAAAGTTTTAGAAAATCTGCTATAATTTTACTGGATTGCAGCATTGAGGGGATAGAATAGAACATAAGAGCACTAAACCTAGTACATTGCCAAAGATTCGGGGGTAAGAAGTTAAAATTTCAAGAGCAACTTCCGGTCGAAATTAGAACAGGACTACAGCAATAACATCAATGCAAGCACTTGGCATGGAGCCACACACAACTTTGCTGCATCAATCACATTCCCACTTATCCGATCAACTATCGATGAAACCACCGTATGAACGCAACTAACCAGCAGACTGCTGAAAACTCTCCATACCTACTAACACTACATTAAAGGGACTATATAGATTAAAGCGCCAGGAAATTCGCAAGTGGTTACTCAAAGGGTTCCAAAATAAGAATGGAATGTACAACACTGGCAGACTTAAACAAAATTATGAATGAAAAAACACATTTCGGAGGAATTCCTATGCGAACTACCAAGGAGGCCACCAACTTAGCTCTACTTCCCTCCCTCCATTTCCAAATCTGAATAAGGGAAGTTGCTAAATTACCTTTCTGGAGACCAGGGCAATTCTCTTCTCCCTTGAAAACAACTGGAACATCAACTTTCAATTCAGTGCCTGGATCCGCCCAAACAAACACCAAATTCAGTATCTTTCCGGTCCCTTCCTCTCTATGTATCTACACAGCACCAACCCAATTGAAACCAAAAATCAATACATGAGGAAATTAATACTGCAGAAACAAAAAAGGGGAAGGGAGTAATAGGTGTTTGCCTTAACGGGGAGAACGTTGCCGGATTCGAGCAGCACGGAAGACCCGGACCCGGCCCGGATCTGCAGCGGGAAGGTAGTGGAGCAGAAGAAAGGTGATTCGACCGACCTGAGGATGGCTTGGATTTGCTTCTTCTCGGTAGTCAACAGTCGTTTTCTCGAGGACGAGGCGGAGGACCGAGCATTAGGGTTCTTCTCGAGGAGGTTCTGCGTGAAAACCACCGCCGGGATCCTTCCCTGTGTCCTTTCTCGTCCCGCGACTCGGCTTCCGGTGGCCTCTCGAGGGACCGCTTGGATCGTGTGGTAAGGAGAAGACTGGGAGTAGAGTGACTGAACCGACGGCGGAGGGAATTTCGCCGCCGTTCTCATCCCACGCCACCATTTCGCCATTGCCATCGTCGTCTGTAATTCGTTCCCGAGGGTTTTTGCTGAGTCGAGGTTTTAGGCGGAGGGGCTAGATAGACGAAAGGAAATAGGTTGGGCTTCTACTTTGGGCTCAAAAACTCTGAATTCGGCCATTTAAGCTCATCGGACTTAACCCATCTCTGGCCCATGCAGTTTATTGCGCGCCAATATCTAACTATTTGAAATATAATCCATCTCTCTTTAGCCTATCTTTCCACAAACGCCATTGTTCTTTCGTCTGCAAGAATTAAGCTTTCTTTCTTGATTGCATTTTCCCCTCTTTTTCTATTGCTGGTTTCTTCTTTCTTTCTTCCCACTCCGATTCCTAAAGTCCTCTTCGGAATTACTTTCTCGATTCCTCTCAGTCGCTCCAGTACTTCTACCACGTTCAAAGAAGAAGAGCTCTCCCTACAGTTTCTTTCAGCACCAAAGAAGACTATTCAAGTTGCCCTGTTCTTCTCTTAGCTTTCTGGGATTTCGTTTCCGCCATTTCTCTCTGAACTTCGAACACTCGATTACTAAGTTCCTTCGGAAACTTGATCGATCAATCCAATCTGCACTCCAAAAACAAACAATGCGGCTCTTCGTACGTCATTCTGTCTTCATTAATCCATTCAGTCTTCATTCTTTCCTGGTGGGCTTTTCTGATTTGCTATATGTTCGTTTCTTCTCGTTGATGATGGCAACAGACTCTGTTCCTGCTTCTCCTGCGGAGGCTTATTCCAATGCGACTCACCGCAGTACAGAATTTCATGGTTATGGTGGTGGTTCTTAAGGCCTTATTCCGCGCTCGTCAACTGCTGGAATCTCAAGCTGCTGCTGCTGCACAAGACTTGAACTTGATTGAGGAAGGAGTCCGAAGAGATGAACCCACGCCAGAGGCTAGCGCAGCCATCCCCCGATTCTTCTACTCGTCGGCTATCCGACAGAGAACTTATGCAGGCCTTTTTGGGAATTTTCCAGAACGCGATTGAGATTCTCAGCTCTCTGAGTGAACACTCTCCTTCCCTCAGGGGAGAGCTAACGCAATTCTTCAGACAAGCAGTCGCCGATGAATTCCAACTACTAATGGCGGACGAGCAAGAAAGAAGAACGGCGCAGACTGACCATGTTATCATTGACATCATCGATTCTGAAGAAGCGGAAACAGAGCCACCGTCGCCGGTCATCAACGGATCAGGAACGGAGCCACGTAATCAGAACGAGCGAGCTGCCCAAGTCGAGGATCGCATCATTCATCGGGAAATCGAGATGACCATTCCATCTTTCAACCCGCTACCATTTATGCCCACTTTACGAGCTGGATCGTCGCTGACCAACTTTACCGGCAGCGAAAGCAGTGCTACCCGGAGCAGAGGAGCGGCGAAGGAAACGGACGATGAGGGCACTGGGAAGAGGAAGAAAGCTTGAAGCCCATTGGAGACGCTAGATAGAATGCAGACGGGACAGAAGATCATACTCATCAGTCCACTGAATCGATCTACCAACAGAAGAGAGGCTTGTTTTTTCTTCCTCACTTCGATTGTTAGTTGTGCAGTTTTGACGGTTTACTTTCAGCTTTAGCTTTGGATATACTCGGGGATGATTTTCCCCCCCCCTTCTTTTGGTTGCTACTGATCACATCATGATGTAGTAGAAGAACTGATTGATTACTACTTCACATTTCTTTAGCATCAATGTGAACTACATCTCCATATATGATTGGATGATTGAATACAATGAATGTTTAACACTCTGCCTTTCAGTTTCGACATTCTGATTCCTTTCGGATTACACTACAATTGTATCAAGCTAATCTTTAATACACATCTCAAGTTATCGAGATTCTCAGTCTCTCCCACAGAACAGACCGAAAATGAAGGGCAAAAAACCCAGCTGCCCGCCGTCGTTGGCATTGTGTGTTGACGTCATGATGGTATACACCTACTTCATGAACAAGTTAAAGCACACCATTTTGCTCTCCATCTTCGACGTGGCGCATGCGCTTCAGTAAAGCCGAAACAACCTTACATACCGGAGCCATCTCATCCTTGCTTAGAAGCTCCAGCGATGGATTCACGTCGATCTCACTCAGGGATGTTTTCAGCATGACGGAGAAACTTGACACTGGTTCAAATGGCCACCTGTGCACCAGCATCAAAATGATAACACGTCAGTTGAGTAAATCCGATCAGCAATGGGTCCTTTGAGTGTATAATGAGATTAAGATAGTGCATGTTCAGGCACTTTGGCCTCATCAATGGACTCAGCAAGCAAATGAATGCAAACAGTAGCAGCTAACCGATAAGAGAAGTGAAAACTAGACATGAAGCAGAAACCAGGCAGCAGACGGAACTAAGAGCACATAGCATAGGGTTATTAGTACAGAAATGCAGGGTGGGGATTCATTGTACATCTACTGAAATGCAGCACCGAGGTGATAGAACATAAGAAGAACATTGTGCCAGACTACCAGGTAAGATTGGCAGAGATTTGGGGTAGGAAGCTAAATATTTCAGGAGTAAGTTCCTTCTAACAGAATTCTGATAGGGATACAGCAGTAACATCAGTACAAGCTAGTGTCATGAAGCCACTGACCAGTACAATCACAATTCCAGTTATCTGATCCAATGTCGCTTGAACCCCACCGTATGATTTAATGCAACTAACCAAACCAGCAATTGGCATGGGAAAATCTGTCATGCACTTCATATATAAGAAAAAGGAGGGTTAGCGGTAAAGTGACATAGGTTTAGGGGAACTGCAATTAGCGTCTATTAGAGGATTATTATAGGGTAAGGTAATGTATTCTTAGGTGTGGCAAACCAACCTTAAGAACAGGGGACATCTCATCTTTGCTTAGAAGCTTCAGCGTGGACGGAGATTGATATCGCACATAAGTTTTGCTCTCCAAATAACCAGATTGCAGAGATCAATCTCGACCTTTTAAGGGACGGTCTCCGGAGGGCAGAGAAACTTGAGAGTGGTTCAACCTGCCACCAGCATCAAAATGATAGCACATCGATTAGGTATATTTGTATGAACAAAGCATTCATTTGAGTACATACTGAGATATCAATTGCTTAAAAGCATCACATTTCATGCATTTTGAGGTCGTAATGGTTAAATCAAGTAGCCTCATCAAGCGAAACAAGTTCTACGGCCAATGAACGCAGACAGTGGCGCGGGTGACCAATATGAGAAAACCGAAATGTAGACATTAGCCAGGAAGCAGGCGGCAGACAGAACTAAGAGCATATATCATGATTATTAGTACAAAGATGCAGATACGTTTGACGATCAAATTTGCCACTACTTTTGCAAGATTGCAGAATTGAGAAGATAGAACATAAGGAGTTCCTCCGTGTAGCAAACTACGACGACGGATTCGGGTAAACGAATTTAAAATTTCGAGAGTAACTCCCAGTTGAATAGAATCATATAACAGGCTAAAGCAATAACTAGCAGGACTGCAACTAACTAGTAGACACTGCTAACCATTCTAGACGCACAAACACGATGATGTGATCAAACTACTGAAACGGCAGCTAACGCCACAAGTCCACAACCGCTGGCTGGGGAAACATTTCCACAATGGCATGTCAACTACCAAACAATTCAGTCCCCTCGTCTCTATGTATCTACACACAGCACAGCAGCATCCACGATTTATGAGACCCAACATCAACCTTCCACGAGGCTATTGAAAATCAGTGACAGGAAGGTAAGAGGGGGAGAAGGATGTTTGCCTTACCGGGAAAGAAAGATGGTTTGAATTCGCAACTTATCCATCGCCGACAGAAAGGGTTAGAGGATCTGGAGAAGGGACGGAAGGAAGCTAAATTGGGCCGTTTTAACACCAGCGGTCTTAACCCAAATGTGACCCTTGTCACTCATTGCGCGCCACAGTCTCCAGCTCTTTGAAATAGATTCCATCGGAGCATAAATTGCTCTGCTCTACCTCCCTCCACAATTTACTGTAGAATAGATAGAGAAACATGGAGCCTCCATAGCCATCTTCTTTAGCCTATCTCTCCACAAACTCCACCGTTACTTCAGTAATCAAGAATACGATTCAGTCGCTCTTTCCTTCGTTTAGCTTTCTGGGATTTCGTTTCCTCCGTCTCACTCTGTGAATTTCCGACTCAAGAATTCACAGTGCCTTTCTCGGTGATTCTCCATTACCATCTCTTGGTTGCAGTTTTCTGTTGCTAATTCGATTTGCGATTATGGGTCTCTTTCTTTCTTCTCCCTCTGATTTCTTTCCTGATTCCATTTTTATTTTTATTTTGCGATTGCGATTCTGGGTTTTCTTTCTTCTCGCTCTGATTCCTAAACCTCTCTTCGGCATTACTTTCTCGATTCCTATCAGTCTGCGAGAAGAACGGGAGCAAGCAACCATCTTGATTAGTTCCTTCTGCTTCTGCACATTCGATCGATCGGCTCAACATTCATTCCACAAACAAGCAATGCGGTTCTTGGTTCGTACTCTGTCTTCTTTAATCCACTCTTTCTTTTCGCTTCTGAACTTGTTTCCTGGTGAGCGTTTCTTACTTGCAGTTTTCGTTTCCTCGATTTGACAGATACTGTTCTTGTTTCTCCTGCCGAGGCTGATTTCAACGCGATTCACCCCTGTCCGAAATTTCTGGTTTTCCATTCTGGTCCTTAAGGCCATGTTTCACGCTCACCCACCGCCGGAACATCTAGCTGACGTTGTGGAACACTTGCTTGAGGAAGCAGTGCTCCCACCAGAGACATCCCCGCCGGCGTCGGAAGATCAAGCTGCTGCGGCGGAAGACTTGATTGTGGAGGCAGTCCAAGATGTGCCGCCGTCGCCACCAGCAGAGCAGCCAGCCCCCAGTTCTTCTGCCCAAGCGATTACTAGACGGCTTCCTCCGGCGATTTCTAAGATTTGTCGAGAAATTACTGAGATTTTCCGCTTTCTCATTGAAGAGTCTCCTCTCATCAAACAAGAGCTGACCCAGCTTTTCAGACAAGTTCTCGCCGATGAAATTCCATTAACTGCGTCGGCGGCGGCGCCAGATAGAAGAGGGGTTCAGCAAGAAACGGCGCTTCCTCAAAGCAGTGGTAATGATCAAGAAACGCAAGAAACGGCGTCACCGGACCATGTTATCAGTGACATCACCGATCCCGCAGCACAAACAGAGCCACCGTCGTCAGACATCGCCGAATCGGGAACAGAGCAACTTCATCAGAACGAGCGAGCTGAGCAAGTTGATAATCGTCTTTCTCGAGGGACCCAGATGACCACCGGGCCTTTCAACCCGCTGGCCAATTTGCGTGCTGTACCTCCGCCGTCCAACTTCACCGGTGAAAGCAGTGCCGCCGCCGGGAACAGAGGAACAATGAAGGAAACGGACGAGGACGAGGACGACGGGGAGCGGAAGCAGAATAAACCGTGAAGCCCATGGCGGCGCAACTGAAAGCAGACGAACAGATTTATGCAGAGGCTTGGTTTTCATCACTTGTTGGATTCTCTACTTTCACTTTCAGTTCATCGCTACTATTCAGATTACTTCACATGGCGGCCGTAGAAGAAGAACTGACTAGTATACTACACATTTTTCTTAGCATCATGATTTTGAGCTCCATCCCCGTAACTTTGGGTGATTGAATTCCAAAGAATGCTTACTACTTTTGCCTTTCGGTTTCCACATCCTGATCCCATTCGGATTACATTGTATCAAACTAATCTTCAATGCAAATCTCTAGTGATCAACTCTCAGTCTCCATTTATCTCGATTAGTATAGGGACTCTTCTGTTACAATTCAACTCCATTTCAAGGATATACACTGCTGGGATTGTTCATCAAACTGAAGTTGAAATTTGGGTATTGTGAAGTCAAATTAGAGGCAACCATTAGAGTAGTTGCCATTGCCGCCAAAAACCATGTCTAAGGTTCCGGTGGTGGTGGAGCTCTGGCCGTTCACTAGATATGGCCGAAAAACCCTAGAAGTTTCTTCGTCATAGATAACAAACCTAGAAGTTCATCGAGCTAATTTTATGATAATAATAATATAAACAATAATATTCCCTTGATTCTAGGCACCTTATTAATCACGTAACTTAGTCCCCCAATTCAAACCCAACTCTTTTTATATGTTCATCCTCACTCTCCCTCTCTCCATCTTCTTTCTTCTCCAGTTCTCTCCCCAGGTTACAGAGCCAAAATGAAAAAAACCCCAGCTGCCGGCCGCCGGCTCCGGCACAGCGCTCCGCCGTCGTTTGGCGCGTGCATTGACGTCATTACCCAGTTCTTCCCTTTGATCTTCCTTCTCTCGCTGGTGTACGCCTACTTCATCTTCATGAACCAGTTCATGTCCGCGTTCTTCCTCTACGTCTTCCACGTGGCCGCATGCTTTCTGGTCATCTGCATCTCCGCTGCCCGGAGGTTACTTTCCGGTCGACCCGTGTTCTTCAACTTCTCCACAGTGAGGAAGGAATGGCGCGTCGGAGCACCCGTAAGATACAAATAGAAATCTCGCAATTTTTTTTTTTATAATGGAAATCTCGCTTTTATTTCCTGGATTAGTTCATTGTTATTTTCGAATTAACTCGGTTCCTTTTATTTCTACCCTTTTTTCGGTTTGATCAGCTGGTTGAATTTCAGTAATGAGATTATGATATTAGTTTCAGCATATAGGATTTGTTAGATTCTTTCCATTATTGCAAAGCCGCAAATGTGTTGTGACCTTGTGTTTGAGTGGCAAAATTAGTGATTGATCACTATAGAAATCTGTCATGCATTTCATTGTTCATATATGAACAAGTTGTAGCAGCACATCCACATAGGTTTTAAGGAAGCTGCACTTGATCTCATCCTTAGATGCTTCAGCGATGGATTGACATCGATCTCGCACATGTATATTCGTGCTCCCCAGCGTCCAGATTGCTCAGGTTGACCACGATCTTTGGAGGGATCGATGTTTTCAGCAGAGCAAAGGAACTTGAGATCGGTTCCTAAACTGGTTCAATCGCGGCCACCTGTTCACCATCATCAAAATGATAACACATCAATTAAGTACATTCGATCAATAACGATTCCTTTGAGTATAAAATGAAATGGTATATGCTCAGGGGAGTAGCCTTGGCAAGCAAAACAAGTTCTTTAGGCAATTACCACAAACAATGGCAGGTAACCAATATGAGGAAAGAAAAATCTAGACATGAAGCACGAATCTAAGCGGAACTAAGAGCATAGTATACAGCATGGGGTATTAGTACAAAGATGCAGTAGAGATTATTGGCTTATATTTTTACTGGATTGCAGCATTGAGGCGGTAGAAACGTAGTTAAGGAGCACACTAATATCGTACCAGGTAAATTTGGCAGAGATTTGGGGTAAGAAGTTCAAATTTCAAGTGTTAACTTGCCGTCAAACAGAACCATAACAACAAAGCTACCGCAATAGCATCAGTACTGGCAATTGCCATGGAGCCACACACAACTATGATGTGCATCAATCACATTCCTACTTATTTGATCAACTGTCGCATAAAGCCCGTCCAGCAGGCTGCTAAGTGCTAAATAACACTCCATTCCATTCTACAAATGTGAGGAAATTGGTAGCTGACCACCGCCACAGGGGAAACTTTGCAAAAAGGAATGTCCAAAAGAAACACATCTCTTTGGAATTCCTACTAAGAACTACTTAGCAAAGTGACCAGTCCGAGTAAGGGTCTAAGGGAAGTTGCAAATTACCTTTACAGAGACCAGGATGATTCTCTTCTCCTTTTTAAGCAACTTTCATTTCAGTGTCCAAACAAACACCAAATTCAGTAGCTTCACACCTCCTTATTGGTAGTCAACAGCCGCTTCCTGGAGGCAGAGTAAGAGCGAGCATTAGGTTTCTTCCCAAGCAAGTTCCCGCCGCTCGAATCCTACACTAAGTCCTGTCGTGTTCCGCGACCCAGCTGGAAATGAGTGATTGAAGCTTCATAATCCAGCACTATGGAAAACCTGTCAGGCACTTCATATATGAGCAAAAGGAGGGGTAGTGGCAAATCGATATAGGTTTAGGGAAACTGCAGTTACCTTCTATTAGGGATGATAGGTAAGATGATGTATTCTTAGGTTCACGATGAAGAAACCTTGCATACAGGGGACCTTTCATTTTTGCTTAGAAGGTTCAGGGATGGATGAACATTGATATCCCTCGTGATCAACCTCGATCTTGTGAGGATGTTCTCCGCAGAGCAAAGAAGCTTGAGAGTTGTTCTGAACTGGTTCAACCGGCTACCTTTCCAACAGGATCAGAATGATAGCACATCAACCATATTTAGCCAATATCCTTTGAGTATATGATGACATAGCAATTCCTTGAAAGCATCACATCAGGCATTTAGAGGCCAGTAGTGGTCAAATTGAGTAACTCAGCAAGCAAAATAAGTTCTTCAGCCAAACAGAGGCAGCTGAACAATTAATTAATTAATAGCGCAAGTAAACTACAACCTAAAACACTGTTCATCACGACAAAATAGCTAAAACCCACTTTTACCGGGGAAAGCCGACCTTGTGCATGTGATCAATTAATTGCAACCCCACTTTTATCGTCTTTTATGAGATTTTTCTGGGGGTTGGTACTGTTCATTAGAGAGCTATATCATGTGGGTGGGTGTACCCAATTTTTTGGGCTAGCCGAGGGATTTATTAATCTTCTGTTTAGGGGATTTATTAATCTTCTACATTACGTAAATTATAAATATATTAATAGCGCAAGTAAACTACAACCTAAAACACTGCTCATCACGACAAAATAGCTATAACCCACTTTTACCGGGGAAAGCCGACCTTGTGCATGTGATCATTTAATTGCAACCCCACTTTTATCGTCTTTTATGAGAATTTTCTGGGGGTTGCTCCTGTTCATTAGAGAGCTATATCATGTGGGTGGGTGTACCCAATTTTTTGGGCTAGCCCAGGGATTTATTAATCTTCTGTTTAGGGGATTTATTAATCTTCTACATTACGTAAATTATAAATATATAACGTAAAAATTACATTCCACAAAAGTTTCGCAATGTCAGTTATTTTTTATATACCATTTGATCAAATGTGATATTTTTCATATCTTAATTCCTTTATTACAATATTCATCATCTCATTGATTTGTATTATGCAAAAGTTCCGAAAGTGAATTTTTACGTAATAGTTTAATTAATGTTCCATAACCTGATTTTATTATTAGACCACACATTATAGAATTTTTGTGCAACATCATTCTTTTGAAAAAAAAGTTCTATGATAGTTTCATAACTTGATTTTATTTCATATGAAGGGATATGTTATAAAGTGTGATATCATTAGACCACACATTATAAAATATTTATGTAACAACGTTCTATAATAGTTCTTTATCTCCTACATCTAATTTTACCATAAACTTTTGATTAGTTAACTATTACATAATAATTTAATCATATGTTACTTTCACGTTACTTTCTAAAATTTTGTTTTATTATTAGACCACACATTATAAAATATTTATGTAACAACATTTCATAACAGTCATGTAAATTAAAAATCAATCAATGTTACTTACTATAACTTACTTTTATTATTAGATCACACATGAAAGATTTATGTAACAACATTCTGTAACTATTACATAAGTTTTCTTTAATGATTATAAAATATTTATGCAACAACGTTCTATAATAGTTCTTTATCTCCTACATCCAATTTTACCATAAACTCTTGATTAGTTAATTTTGACATAATAGTTTAATCATATGTTACTTTCACGTTACTTTCTAAAATTTTGTTTTATTATTAGACCACTCATTATAAAATATTTATGTAACAACATTTCATAACAGTTATGCAAAATAAAAATGTTACTATAACTTGATTTTATTATTAGATCATACATTATGAAAGATTTATGTAATAACGTTCTATAACTGTAACATTAGTTTTCCTTAATGATTAAGAGACTACGTAATTTTATGGACAAATAATCATTTTATATGCATCAATTAATTAAAAAAATGTAAGTTTTCAATATAGAATAAACACTTCGTAAACCTTATGTAGAAATAGTTATTTACTATATATCATTTAACAAATGGATGTTGTATGTTATTCGTAATGATTAAATCATTATGTGAAACTTACATATGTATCTTATTTGAATAATTTTGTGAATTATTTGATTTTAATCATTATTTTCTTTCCGCGGCGGAGCGCGGGCCAAAAAACTAGTATAATAAAAGCGAAAACTAGACATGATTCCTATGACAACTACCAAAGGAAGTAACCAACTTAGTCTACTTGTTTACCCCTGATTTCCAATCTGAATAACGAACGGAAGAATATACAAAATTACCTTTTTCTGGAAGCATTTGGGACGTTGAGTTTCGATCACTCCCCTCGTCCCTGTGTACCTACGCACGGCAGCATCACGAGACCCAAAATCAAACATCAAGCATCAATGAGGCTATTCAAAATCAGTGACAGAAAGGTAAAAGGTGCGAACCGGGGAGAACATTCCTGAATTAGAGTCGAACCGAATACCCGGACCCGGACCGAAGCAGATGAAAGACGATTCCACCGCTAGCTTGAATTCGCTACTTCTCCGTCGTCCACTGCTGCTTCCTGGAGGCAGAGGATTGAGAATTAGAGGTCTCCTTCTCGCGCCATCATTTCGCCATTGCCATCGTCAACTCGTCTGCAATTGGTTCCTGGGTTTCGCTGGTTCGGCGTTTAAGGCGGTGAGAATGGACTGAAGGAAATAGGGAAAGGCTACGGTGCTAATTGTACAATAGTTAGCACCGTCCTAACTAAGGGAAAAACTACTACTAGTTTGAATTAGTAGTGATTTAGCTTAGATGTTGTATTGATTTTATAATAATCCGTAGTGATTTCGTTATTTTTAGTAGCGTTTTTTGCTAGTTATCACGGTGCTAACCCCTATAGTGGTTAGCACCTAATCCTATCCCAAGGAAATAGATTGGCCCCGCTAAATTGGGCTCGGAGGCCTTATTGGGCCGGGAGCTTCATCGGAATTAAATTAACGGACCCATCTAACAGAGAGTAGGGCTGGACATGTGGGCGGATCACCCACGGGTTTCGGCCAACCCACCCGCATTTGACCCGAATTTTGGTTATGTGGGTGGGTGACGGGTTGCACTGGGAGCTATCAGCTCGGTGGCGGGTGGGTTGTGGGCGAGTGCGCGGGTGACCCGCTTAACCCAACAACAAAAAGAACAAAGTCGTAGGCCCTGGAGAGAGTGGAGAGTGGAGACGTTAGACGGAAACTAGGGTTTCTCTTGGGGATTGAACCTCAAAACCAATCTTACAAATCGGAATCCGCTCTTCTTCCCTTTATTTTTTCCTTTGATTCTTGTGCCTAGATCACCTCTCTTTCCTCCAGTGAATTATTTTCCTTAGTTTTTTGCGCTTGATAATCATCTCCATCTGTAGAAAAATCCTCCATAATGAAATTTCAATAAAATTTTCGAACTAATTCAACATTTTTCACTATTCCATCTTCTTGTTTTCGCG